GGGGGGGGGGGGGGGATTCGGACTTTGAGTGGGGAGAACATTTAATTTTTCATTGAGTATCTCGGTTTCTCTACTGGGGTGTTTTATCACTCTCAGCACATGTTGGACCTGACAGACTGAGTCTGAAACACGCCTCCTAAATTATCTAAATAGTGTCGTTTGGGGCATGAAAACATCTACATTGTACCTCCCCACCCACCTCCCGGAATTTCTTTGCTAACCGAGATTTCAATTTTAATTTTTTTTCTTAATCGTCTGCTTTTTACAGGTGTAGCACAGGTGGTCAACAGGATAGATGGCCTCCCCTTTGACGACCATGATGACCAGCTCTTTGAGGTAACTTGCTGTTTTACTTTAGAAATAGAACTGTACGTCGGCTGTGTTAGATGAGAGTTTTCGTCTGCCTCATCATCATCATCACCATCATCATCATCATCATCATCATCATCATCATCATCATCATCATCACCATCATCATCACCATCATTGTAGGTAGCGGGGAATAAAAAAATGGTTTGAGACTTAGTAGATTTTGCAAATGTAATATAGTTTTTTTCTGATCAAATGTACACATAGGAAATACAAATGCCACAAAGCAAATTCAAATGCCACATAGAAAGTTTCACGCCACATAGAAAGTTCAAATGTTCAATAGGAAATTTTTGTGCACCATTGTGGGTAACAAGTTCAAATGTAGAAATAGCAAATCAAAATGCTACACAATAGCAAGTTCAAATGCCACATAGCAAAAGCAAATATACCCCACAAAGATTATTCTGCGTGAAAAGCATTTTAATGCGCTCAAACTGAGTTGACGACAACCATAAGCAGTTTAATTTTAAGGTTAATTGATCACCATTTAAGAAATCCCGAGGATGCTCCCGTGGAAAAAAATTCTGATAGGACTGAAGCAACTTGACATCAGTATGCAGCATGGCTGATGCAGAACATTTAGCGGTATGAACTTGCCTTTATTGAGGAGGCTGGTAGCAAGCCGTTGACGAAGAGAAACCTATGAAGAGCTCAAAGTGTTCAAAGCTTTGTTCGAGTAATGCAGGGACGAAGGGGACTGAACCGCACGATGCCATAGGCGCCTAATTTGCTGTCAGTGACGTAGGTGGCCTGGTCTTTCACGACTTTCAAGTAGAGGAAATGGCGGCTTTCGTTTCAACCCATCCCTCTAAGAAACTGTTCCAACAACATCCAAAACGAAGTATGTTTTGTAGGAAACAACGCTCGTGCTTAAAGGCAGGTTTTAAATGGCAACTCATCCATAGATTGGGTAAGAAATATTTACTCCCTACACACCTTTTCTTAACATCTACGAGAACGCTTGTGAATTTGGAAATACGTTGGGAAACCGTGGCTCGGAGAGGCAAAAGACCAAATGCTCACTCAGCTGACTCATCAGGAAGGGATGGCCACACTTGCCCAGATGATGGAACAAAAATCCCAAGCTGTGATTATAGTGAAAATAGCAGCAGTCTTCAGATCAATGCAAGCCTATATGCCACAGCATCTTGTAGTGCAACAATAAGTAAATAAAAGTAAATTTGGCTTTAGATTTCACTCAGTTAGTTCTATAATATACCAGCAGCAGTATGCTGATTTGTATCATAACCATTCGTTTCTGTTTTAACGTGTTGGTTTATTTTCGGTTTTTAAAAATAATTTAACTATTAATTTTGTTTCACATGATTTCTTCCTTGTGGCACCCCACGGCTTACGACTATCTTTATCGTGGCCAAAAAAAACTTAAACTTTTTACTTCTTACCTTGATACATTTCTTATACTTTTAGCCTTCTTTTTAGTTTTAGTAAGAGTTTTACGGCACTCGCAACACAATAAGGTCAAATAAGTGCCGAAGATTAATGGTGTTACAAGAGAGTAAAAGGCACAAAAAAGAAGGAGGAGAGATCAGGATGATAGATGTTAGGTCGGAAAGAAGGAGCAAACCCCACCAGAGCACCCGCCAACCACTCACTTAGCCTCCTTTTACTCTAGTTCAAGCATATTTACATTTGAACTTGCTATGTGGCATTTGAATTTGCTATGTGTTACCAAAGATAGTACAAGACAAGATGGGCCACTCAGTCTAAAAAGTGTCCGCAGGAAGTATGCTCTTTGCTTCAGATGGCGCTGCAG